GAAGATTCTGTTATTTGTAGACCAAATAGTCAGATCACATGTTAGATCCACATGTGTATTGCAAATATCTATTTCAGACCACAAACTCATTTGTGTAACGTGAATTATAAGACGTAGATAATGTAATCTAAATTCTGAACATGTTTATTTAACAATTTTATAGTATATATAAAGCTCAGTTATTGGAAAAAAGACAGAAAGATTAATTGATGTAAAACGATACAAGGGGAGGCAACAGCGGAACATGTAAAGATTGGGAAAGATACTAATTGTATTTTAAGAAAAACTACAGACAAAACAGGAACGATGTCAATATGGAGTGTTGTTAATCAACCAATTTGTATATTGACGATTGCAGAATAAGATCGAGCAGACAAAAAATCCTTTCCAGTATATACAGACAAACACATTGACAAATTATCTTTCAATCGACCAATTATTTTTTTACGGAATCACATCAACAACATATTAAAAAACAATTTAAATGCATCTGAAGAAACTAAGCGGGTTTATTTTGCTGGCAAGCAGATTGCTTGCAATTCCTCCGGTGGAATTCGAGTCTTTGGAAAACGGCGGCAGCGAATCGGACTTCATGAATCGCTCGATTCACGGCACCGTCGCCTGTGAAAATAAACGAAGCCAAACATTCCCCGTCGAAAACGAGAGAGGGAGCGATGTGTGAGAAGTCAATGTAATAATATGTAGACACACGCGAAGCAGTGCGCTCGTAGAGGACGCGTGGACACAATGCACCCTATTTTAGCACAAGGATTGAAGGTTTCGACTTAAGAACACAAACAACTACGCCTTTCTGTGCCACGTTGTCCGAGCTCAGCTGGAAGAACTCTTTTCGAGTGCTGTATTGTCTCGGTCTGCGAAGATCTGGAAACAAGGAAGAGCGCTGGCGTCATGAAGGACGAAATCTACACAAAGGAATATCATTTAGGTATCAAAAATTCGACATGCGTATTACATCTATGCTAATACATCCTTCATGGATTAATGTGCGTTGCTTGCATTTGTTTGAATTGAATTTGAATTGAATTTGCCTTGAGTTTGCTTATGTTTTTTCTAAACGTTAGAAACGTTAACCTGCTGTCATCAGATTTTTCCGTAATTAATTTAATATCCGTTTCGGCTGCGATATTAACATTTCAGCAGATTAGAAAAAACCAATAAAAATGTTTCCAGTGCGCCAAATTCTTTGAGGGTTATTTCCTAAAAAAATATAACCCAAAGTTCTTTCAAGTATTCCAATAGGCAGATAATAGGCGAAGTAAGCGGATGCTAGTTACAGTGTATGGATAAATTTATCTAAACAACTTGCAAATACGATAACTGATCGTCTACTTTTAGCAAATTAACACACATGTCAATAACAATCCCAAGAACGTTACTTAGATGGATATAACAAGTCAATAAAGCATGACGTAGACGCATTATTCCAGGGCACAGAATGAAGCTGAAGAAACGGGAACAATGCGCGATTAGAAGGAACGCATAACCATACAAATACGCTCTCGGGTCACCTATAACAATAACGATAGTGAGTTGCAGGTCATCTCGTGGTATCCGATTTAATGAGCAATAAGTCAAAATAATGCAAGTTTATTTCATAATTTTCGGGCCTCCGCTCGTCTGTTAGTTACATTAGATATACTGATGTTATGGAAAATAAAATAATCTCTTTTGTTTTCAATCATCTGTTTTGATTGTACAATGTACTCGTAGTATATGATTATGATCATATAACGCAACCGATTCTACATGTATAAAATGATCGAACAAACGTCATCGAATACGTTCAGTCCTGCGAATGTTTTTAGCTTCATGAGTGTTAAAAAGGCATTCCTTCAACAAAATAATGATAAAAATTTAAAAAAATAAAATTACGGATAAATACATCGCACAAAATTGTTAGTTATGATTTTCGGTAATTTTCTTTTTAATTTAAGGAAATCCATCCTTCGTTAAGTTAAATATTTCAATGAATCAAGAGTCGCAGAATTTTCTTGTAGCCATAAATAGTTTTAATTATTTTTACTGTAATTCAAGGTCGAAGGAATGAAAATTTAAATAAAGCATACATTATTATATAAAATATTAGATATCTACATGCCTAAATACTTCTAGATAAGATAATGCGGTTGTCCGGTCATATCCCCATCCATACAGTTCTTTATCCGTCCTTTCTCATGTCACGAGGAGAATTTCAATTCAATTTTTTGTTGAGGTTGTCCCCATTATAGTTGTATTTTTCCTTACCTTCAATGTTTCTGAACTGTTGAATATTCCGTGAGGATACTGTAGGTAGATGTTCCATTAATTATTACTCTATACTTTATTATTCCTCTAGTTACCACTTGTACTGTTATTATTAATAGCATAGTTACCATCATCATTAACACTGAAATAATAATTAATGCCGCTCACTAATAATAGTAATTAAGCCTCTTCATGTCTCAGTGGGATAGCACTTATAACCGAAGTCTCTCATGTCTCAAGATAAGCCAAAAGCTATTGTATCAAAGTCGTCGTTTATTATCACATCGTCTCTCGACTAAATGGATAGTGGTACCTAAGTACTCATTCTTTTTACAAGACGTAGATGAAGTCTTTACGAAAGGAATGAAAGTGAATAAGGATGGTAATAATGAATTACTCCAACGGGGGAATGAAAATTTAACAAAGAAAATGTATTAAGAAACTATAATAGTACGAGCGTACTTATCTTTTTACAGTAAATAAAAATCAAAAATTATACAAAATTATATCTGACATGTGAAGGAAATTCACGTTTTATCTTTTTCGTCTGCTGAAAATTGCACAAACAGAATACGGGAAAGAAGTAATGCAAAATAGAAAAGAAATAAAATTGTTAATTCAGAAAGGAGAAAAAAATGACTTTTTTGGAAGAGAAGCAAAAACAATATACAGAAAAAGGCGAGAAAATGCAGTTATTCGAAAAGAATATAATGGAATAATTAATTTCTTAAAAATAACAATGACTACCATGGAGTAGGCTATTCATCTGGCACAGAATACTACGAAAAGGAAAACAACATGGTACTAGAAAATTGCATGGATGCAATGAAAAATAGCGATTAGAAGGACATTTGTGTCAAATGGGATTAGCACCTTATTTTTTACCGTCCTTTTATACCTATAAGGACAAACATTTTAAAAAATGATGCAGTTTTAGAGAAAAAAATTGAAAAAAATTAAAACTGGCCATATTTTGTGCACAATTACACAAAAACAACTTAAATTTCGAAAAATTAATTATTAACTTATTCAAGATTTGTCCTTAAAAACAGATTTCATTTAATTTCTAATCTCTATCTTCATATTATAGTTGTAGGAAAACGAAAAATTCCAGTTTCTCAATTTTCAAAAATCTAGAATTTCAACGAACATGAGACCTGGACCTTTCTTTTAAGCATCCAAGCGTCCTTATGTTCAGAAGATACACATTTTTTTCTTAATGAAATATGTTCTTTAAAGACGGATCTTTAAATATGTCCATGTTCAATCCAATATTTTCTCAAAATCCGCTCGAAATGTTTTCTTTAAATAGTTTCCATGGACAGAAGAAAGGATGCCAAAGAAAGAACTGCGCGGGTCTCATTTTCGTTGAATATTGCAAATTTGGAAATAATACGAGAACGTAAGTGCAGTTGTAGTCCCACTAGTTTTTGCTTGTTCTCAATCTTCAACACTGAAGTTATACTTTACTTGGGGGGCAATGTATTCCACGATAACAGAACATTAAAACATTGTACAACTCTTTCGTAGATTATGACTAAATACGAGTACTTTCCACGTAAGTCTGATTACATCGTTTGATGTTTTCAAGTAATAGCTGAATTGTTAGTGGAATAAAATGTGCAATACCGTAATATTAGGTAACAATTGTCATTGAAGTGATGTTTTTACTATTCGAACACAACTAGATCATTTTTCGATAATTTTTTTCATGATCACACCCCTCACTTTCCCCCTCAAGTACGCCACCGGCAGTGTGATAACTCGTGTGTGTGTGTGTGTAAGCGGGGAATGGTGTCGGAAGCTGTAGGGGGGGGGGCGGTTGCGGGGACGCGGCCGGGACGCAGATGCAGCCGCCCGCAGGTGAGCGGCTCCCGCTTCTCATGTGTGCCCTGCCATTTCTACTCTTACGCGAGCCAACGTTTTAAATAACTGACATTTCAAAGTACAATGTACGCGGTTCGCTACTCGCTACCGTTATCGCCACATCGAACCGACCGACTAATAAAACAAGCGGGAGATCGCAGATAGCAGCGGGAGATACAAGGGAGCAGACGGCGCCCCTCGCCTAGCCCCGCGGGGCCGCGTGCCGGCCGCCTGCCGGTTCGCGAAGGCGGGGATGCGGGTGGTGGAGGGGGAGGGGCGGATCGAGGCGGGGTTAGGGCAGGACCAAGGCGGGGTGAAGGCGGGTTCGAGGGGGATCGGTGCGGGAATTGGCAGGGCTGGGGATGGGGACGTGGCCGTACTTTATGCGGAAGCGGGGCGTGGGTGGACGGAAAAGGGGACTAGGTGAGCGGGTTGGGCACGCGAGCGAGGTGTGACGAAGATTGGGCGAGGGAAAGGGCAAGCGAGAGTGGTGGGTGGCGAGTGAGGGGCTCGAGCGGGTGGGCGTGGCAGCGGGAGCGGGAGCACGGGTGGGGGTGGGTGGAGGAGGCGTGCCGGAACAGGAGCGAGCGCGGGCGTGGACGGGCGGAGGCGCGGGCGATTTCGGGAGCATCGTATTGAAGACGGCGGGTACCTCATTGAAAAATGACAGGTCCTGGCCCTCTAGATTATTGTAAACAAATTTAAGACATTCCGAGCACTGTTTCTAAAGTATAACATTCTAAATAGCTGTCAATCTTAACTCCATACTTCCATCTAGGATGCGACATTACAAAATAGCTAATTCTGATACGATTGCAATTCATAATTTATGTGCTTTTTAATAATAGCTAAGCGAAGATGAGCCGTTAGTGGAATGCTGTAATAATGAAGTGTTTATCGTATTAGGTGTATAATGAGAATAATAACCGCACGACAGTCCACTTGGCATCAAAAATAAGTTTTTAGTTTTCAATTTATTTGGATAATAATAATAATAATAATAATAATAATAATAATAATAATAATAATAATAATAATAATAATTATAATAATAATAATAATTGCAATTATATCCGTATTTGTATACATTAATTTCTTTGCAATTACGAACTAATTACTCATGAGCATTTGAAATTCATAGGATCAATATCCTTGCCTAATCGGATATCGAGAATAAAAATAAAATAACCACTTTTCTTCACCCTACTGCAGTAAACGAATTAATGAAATCATTAAAATTACAATCGTGAACATCTAAGTAAACGTAAAAATTTTAGTAGAGAGAAGGTGAGGAGGTGAAAAGTGAAAAACGTTATGTGTAGGAATAAAAGAAGCAAAATATCAGAATGTAACATTGAAAGATGAACAGAACGAAACGTGGGAAGTGCAAGAAAGAAGAGCGAGCTCTAAGGATAGGTGGCACACAATAGAAGTGGTACACAAATGGATACACAGTATACATAAATGAGGAATGAATAAAAGCCAGCACGTTTTTTAAAGGACTTCAAAAGGTATAAGAGCAAAACAACATGGAGATTGAAGGTGTCAAAGAGGAACAGTACATGAATGCAGTTGAGAAAAGAGAAAAATAAATATTTACTACAGCGGAAAGATACAAAAGAGAAAAGGCTACTTCTGCAGTAAAGAATATGGAAGCAAGACTGAAAACTCGTGAGCGCCAAATGTCCACGGAGGAGAATATAAGGAATGTCAAAGGCTTCCTGACCGCACTAGGCTTCCTGACCGAAAACTAGGTGGAGACAACTATAATCGTGGTAACGTTGTGAAGTCTTCTAAAAAGGTTACGTTTGTGGTGTATCATCAGTACGCTCTCTTACAATGAACAAGTAACAAAATTGTGGGATGTGGTGCACATCCGCTCTTAGCATCCACCTGATTCGAGTACGTAGAGGACAGATTACTTATACGACAAATTATTAAATCGAGTAAAAGTAATTCATAAATCGAGTAAAAGTAATTCTTAAATCGAGTAAAAGTAATTCTTAAATCGAGTAAAAGTAATTCGGAGACATCTTGATATCTACCGAACATCAAATACACATCGAATCCAATAATGCATCGTTTATTTTTATTTTATTTTTTAGTCACATCGACTGCTGTTTTTAATGATACACATTACATATTACAATGAGAAGACCATTTGTGAAAAACATATGCCGACAAGAACAGTATTTGAGCAAAACAAATAGTACTTTGTTAGTCTTGCAGTATAATAGAACCTTTAAAATGTATGGATCTCAAGATTGTTTTCAAATTGTCTGCATCTATACAGTCCAGAGAGTACTTTTGAAATGGATAATATGACTTTTTGATTAAATGATGTGGATTTTATCTTACGTTGATTATTACAAGTATCGCAATAGTGGGTAGGTGCTGAGTGTTATGAGGTGTAAATAATTTAATTTACTATGACTTTTTCTCATTCTTAGCAGCAACTCGTCCTTTGGTGTTAAAAGGTTTCATTGATTTTAGTTGATAAAAATTTACAATGTTTTAGAAAGTGTTTCAGATGTCGTTCCATTTCTTTTACCCTCAGTTTTCAACATGAATCCGTAAGACTTAATTAGTATAAAATAGTTAATATTTTAATATCGTTTTCATTGGTTGTCATTTCTGTTTGCAGGATGGCTATTTCATTTACAATCATTCCTTGGTGTCGGGGAATTCAAACAATGATAATGGTTTTGCTTGTAATTGTTATAACACGGTGTAGCTCCTTTGTATTAATAACCATCTCAAAATTGCTAGTGGTATTGCAAACAGGTTAAATTGCTTTATGGAATTCTGAAAATGTGGATTTATAATATCCCAATTTTGTTTGTAGTTTAAAAGCAAATGTCAGGAAGTGAATTAGGTTTGTAAATTTTGCGTAATTGTTATATGCTCTGTAAGTGCATCTGTTCCATAGTCATTTTTAAATACACAAGTAAAGATTTGATAATAGTTATATTTGTTGGCGAGATCATTTCATTGTTCAGAACATCTTTTAGGTGATAATGGTGTTTAGAGATGTAATAGTAGGTCTGATTTAATGCTTGGAATGGTCCATGGAGGAATACTGTAGTTTCTTCTATTTTCTGAATTTAATTTATGGATGTGTATTTCCACAAGTAGCTTCTAACATTTAGCATGTAATGGAATGAAACGGTGACAGTCTTCGTAATCTTGTGACTTAAGATAAAATACCTTAACTCATATGATATCGAATTCATTTTCTTTCGTGTCGTACAAAAAATATTTTCGTCCAAATAAATCACTGCAGCAAGCAAGCGGATGTACTGAAAATGAACACGAGTGATGACCGTCTCTCTGAAAAAGCATTTTATTTTTATAAACTAATCTGCTTGCGAAGTACAAAAAGAAACCGTTTCGCACCATCTTTCTAGCTGGCTAACAGTTGACCAGTCCGCCAGAGGCCAAATAACTCGATGACAAGACCACGTCCTCGAATTCACTCTAGTGTAAACGAAAGACACCGTTAAGGGCTAACGACGGAAACGCGGATTGCAACGTATTCACGGCAAACGAGCGCCCAGGCGGGGGCTCGAACTTTCTGAAGCCCGCAGAAAGCGGGAATAATGAGCCGACGTCCTCTCGAAAACTCCTCGACGAGTCGACGCCTCTTTCAAAAGGCGAACAGCACGGCACGGCGCGGCGCGGCGCGGCGTGGCACGGTGCGGCCCGGCGCGGCGCCTTCCCGCAGCCCCGGCAATCCACCGCAATTCGGCACTTATTTTCATTAGAATGGAAACCGACGTATGCAAAGGTATTGTCCGGGCGGAGGTGACGGGCTCCTCTATTCACCGCTGGGCTCCCCGCTCACCGCCCGGGGAAGAAGAAATAATATGATGTCACGGGAAGAGGAGGAGGAGGAGGAGGAGGAGGAGGAGGAGAGAAGTGAGGAACGCCGTTCCACTGTTGCCAACTCCTGAGATTTCTGTGTCGCTGTAACAGCTCTTGAAAACACTCGAGACGCCTTCCGACTCGGGAGACTCGTGTTTGCGTGCGAGACGTGCACTCTTCAAACAAGCGTTGCGTCTTATTCTTTCTCAGGCTGTGCGCGAAGGATAATAAGATACGAGGGGCAAACACACCTTGTAATTTCGTGTTGTATAATTTGTTTAAAGAAGTCTGCTTTTGTTTGCCTGGAAAATTAACAAAATCTGACGGTAAAAGACTTTCTTGTGCAAGTTCTAAATAAAACGAAATAAGAATAGTCGTATTTGAATTAAACTTATATAAATATATTCTCTTATTTTCTCACATTTATATCTCGTGTGAATTTAGAATTTGTAAGAACCTACACGGAAGTGTCTATAATTATTTAAAAAAATAATTGAAAGCAGAGAAAACAGAGAAATATAGTTATGGGGAAATGTGTAAACAAAATGCTGCATGAGGGAATCTGCATACTTCTGGGAATAGAACACAAGTATTTTTTGAAATTCATGACTATTATTATGAATTTCTACTAATTTACAATGTCAATAATACACTAAGTAGAGAGCACAATAATGAAATATTCATATTAAAACAAATGTACACGCAGACAATAAAAAAGTAAGTTAATAAATAGTATACATTTATATTCCAATATGTTTTGAATGTTGAGAAGAAAAGTTCATTCTCTTTACTTGGGGCATTTCCAAGACACGCGTATTCATATCACAGCGTAACAATTGATTCTTAGTTCATTCTGTATATATACAAACAAATCTGAGTTCCTCAGCACTAAGATACAACTACAGAATTAATACTACTAATAATTTCAGGCAAAGAAAACAAATTCATGGTACACAACACCAATCAACTCAAGTAACTTTCTCAAGATATCCGCTAAGGAAGCTTCGTGGACGAGTCAAAGGAAACAAATATTGTTGAATCCACAATTCGCAGAGCTGCGGCCTGTCGCCAGAGTTGGTATGCAGCAGGCTTCAGGCGGTCGTCATCCTCAATTCAAGATCAAAATACTGTTACACAAGATCCGAAACGTGACAAGCTTCACTCAAGATCAAAATCCCTCAACGGCGTCGTCTACGGTGACGTCAGCCTTTGTGGAAGAGAGAGGATTACCTCCCGTAGAAGGCAGTGGAGGGGAAAACCGAAGGAGTTACTAGATTGCATCGTCACGAGTATTTGCATTATCTGACATTTGAGTGATATCTTCTTAAGGATTTTCGCGCGTCAGAAGCAGAAAGAGGAAACTTTCCCATTGTAATGGTCTTACTTAAGGCATTGTGGCGCTCCCACATATTTCGAAAATTGAAGTACTTTATCCAAGAGCTAAAAAATAGTCCTCATCCATATTTAAGCAATCAAACCATCACCTTGTCAAATATTAACTCACAAAAACAATTGTATTTACTGTTATAAATCTAGACCTAGAAATACCCAGAACAATCAAAATGAAATTACAGCGTATTATATCAGTTTGTTTGAAATAGGATGAGAGTAAAAACCATTATCAGTCTTTTAGCAACGCACAAGACAAGTTTATTACAATGAACGACTACTTAGCAATCAAATGGCAAATCAGGAATGCTATTGACAGCACATCTCTTCAAAAAGGTATATTCATTCTGAATCATTTCAATGGAAAAGATTGACAAGGTCTTCTGAGAAAATTAAAAAAAAACATTTGAACACTTTCAGAGACGGAGAAAAGAGGTCTCTGAAAAAAATGATTCATGTGTCATGCAAAGAGGATTCGAGTCCCCGCTTTGCTCTGTGCCATCCATTCTTTTCTCTCCAGTGATGCTCGTTCTCATCATCGTTCCATCGAAATTCCGTAAAATGATCAAGGCTGCTCTAGGCCACTTCTCTTATGTCCATTGTGCGTATTGGCTCTTAAAACCTGATGTCCAAAATGCTATTGTGTTAGGCGGTTCCTCACATTCGGTATTCGGCAAGTAAGGAGCGATTTCTCATCCAATCACGAGTATCCGAGGGGCTCCGTAAATATTCGCTTCCTTTGATGGTCCAGAAGACCGACACGTGTGAGTAGGGCGAAAACAGATTTTTTTACGTTGGTTGTGGATGCACACTTCCCGGGATTCGGCGCGCGGTCGCTGAACACAGAATATGCGTAA